AAAAGGCCCCCCCCTCCATTGTAAGCCCCCCTCCCACCCCCCCCCCCCCCCAAACTGTTTTTAAACAGTTTGTTTATTACTATATCTAGATATGTTTATGCACAAATAATAGCCTAATGTAAAATATAAAAACAAAACATCATGTATTGGGTACACCTTGCGTTATTGGCGATGAGTCATCTGGAAGTGTCTTATTAATTTGGACAGCCTCATGCATTCATTAGAAAGTATGCTTGGGTCATTAGTATTAGCATTAGTATTAGTATTAGTATTAGTATTAGCCGAAATTACTACTAATTACTAATTAGTATTAGTATCTTTTTTGAGGCAACATGATAGTTTTCCTAATTGTCCACTGTTAAAAAAAATTACTAAATTAAAAAAAAATCATGGGTTGTACTTTCTCAGAAATTAAATTCACAGTTCAATACAAGTACAATTGGGATTCAAAAGTCTATTTTCAAACTTTCTGCTGCTTTCTAAAAAACAAAAACAAACAAAAGCCTTTCTTGTTTTTTGTTTTTATTCTGACAAATCATGATTTCATTTAAACTAAATGGAAATCTCCTCCGTTTGAATGTATTTAGTAACCACAGCACCAATGTTATAAATCTGACAGCATTGTAAGGCATGCCCTATAATCTCCTTCTTTTGCCTAAGATGTTTAAGATCTATTAGTGATTGTCCACAGTAAAGAAACAATCATTTAACTGACTCTGCATATTAGATTTAGTGGTCTCAGCACGGATAAAGAAACATCTTGTAACCAGGCAGGAAACGCCATGTGCTCCTAAATGCCAGAAAGAGGAGAACACAGTCTGGTGTTCACACAGCTGCGGTAATCTAAACAGACGCACTGTGCTTTAAAAAGCCAGAGCAATTCCAGGAGGCCATCTTTGCTAGATTCTGGAGACAGAAGGGAAATCTCCTCAACGTGATTGTGAGGTACACAAGCCAAAAAACGAAAGGTCATGGACTCAGTCTTAAGTTCAACAGGTTTGCTCTTTCCTCTTCCACTATAGTTGAAGGCAAATTATTAGTCTTTCTGTAAAAATTTTTATGTTTTTATTAAAATACTTCCCATATAATGTTTAGGATTGTTTTTACTTCATATCATATTGTTTTCTTCTAGATAATGTATTATTTGTTTTTAGTTTGGCTGGAATAAAAACAATTATTTAAAACTATTTTGAGGTCAATATTATTAGCCCCCAATAATTATTGTCTACACAGAACCGCCAAGTGAATCGTCAAGTGACTTGCCTAATTAACCTAACTTGCCTAGTTAACCTAATTAAGAATTTATATAGCACTTCAACCGCAATACAAGTGTCCTTATAAAATATTATGTACTGTCATCATGCCAAAAAAAAAAAGAAATTAGACATTTGTTACTAAAACTATGTGTTGGGCAAGCTACTTGACAAATGTAGTGAGCTAAGCTAATAGCGACTCTACTTAAAATGTAGCTGACTACAATAAAGCTATACCCCCTAGGAAATGTAGCAAGCTAAGCTAAAAGCTACATGGCAAAAGTAGCTTAGCTACATTTAAGCTATTTTTACAATTTTCATTTTTAAATCGAAGCAACTTAAATCCAAGTCAATCATATCTTTGTAATCAATAAAACTGTTTTGTTCAGTTATTTGCTGTAAATAACATGCCTTACTAAACAGAAACACATTATAGTGTATATCAGCTAAAACAAAAAATCCAATAAAAAAGGTGCTACACATTTAAAATAGTATATTAATTTATAGTAAAGGGAATTTATATATATATATATATATATATATATATATATATATACATTTTTTGAGCATAGCATGATAAATTAAGGTATTGCATCTTAACATGTACTTCTCGAGGTATGGTCACAAGGAATCCTGCTTCAGAAATAACTCCTCTCCCTCAGTCATCTTTCCATCAAGCAAGTTTCACCAGAGGTGGCAGTAACGCACCAAAAAGTTTGTTGTCGAACACCGTAAAACAGGAAGAAGAAGAAATCATCCTTCTTCCTATCTTGAGCTGCGTCCCAAATGGCACACTATACACTTATGCACTCATGCACTATGTACTTATGCACTTATACACTCAACAGGATATTATATGTATGTAGTGTTGTCCCAAATGGCACACATGTTTTTTTTCACTAAGCGGAAATTCAAACCGTTTCCCTGATGAAGTTTGACGGTTGCTAAATCAGTGAAATAAACGACCGAATTATCAAATAATACCTGCCGTGAGTATCGCCGCATTCACCATCGGGAGGCACTATGATCACTTTCGTAGGACAATTTTGCTTTCACAATCCAAAATAAATAAAGTTATTCAACATGTGCGTCCGATAGCTCCGCCCTCTTCCGCTACGTAAGCAAACCTGCGGTCGTTGAGTGCGTGAAGTGTCCATCATTCCACACTTCATTTTAGCGGCTGAATAAGTGCATCATCTGGGTAATTAAAGTGCACTTATTATTTTTAGAGTTTTCAGTGTGAACACACTACTTACACTATTTATACTACAAAATGGCGTAAAATAGTGCATAAGTATGCGATTTGGGACGCAGCTATATGGATTTACTTTCTTCAGCTTGACACTGGCCTCACAGCTCTGTGAATCTCGGTGCCGTCACTTATTGATCCACGATTTGTAAATGTAGCTTTGTGGATGCTTCTGCGCTACTTGACTAATAAAAAAGCTTCGCTACTGAAAAGCTGTTTGATTTAGAAAATAGCGACGCTACCGCCACGCTGAGAAATGTAGTTAAGCTAGTAGCGTCACTACTTGTAGCGACGCCACTACCCAACACTGAAAACTGTTACGTTTAAAAATATGTCTTTGTTAAACATCAATAAGGAAATATTTGTAAATGAATAAACATTTTACAGGAGGGCTATTCATTTTGACCAACTGTATATATAGGTTTATATCTTTGCTCTGTTTAATATATATATTTTCTCTTTGTGCCATTACAGCTGTCTATTATGTATTAAATAAGAAATAAATGCAACATCTGATCCTTATGTTTGGATGACCAGCTGCATTGCTGAGTTTGCCGTCCTTGAACGATACTACCCAGATGGCATGGAGGAGGAAGGGTTTGACGTGTTTGTTTGCTAAACACTTGCAGAGACTAAAAGTAGGTGGCACATTTAACTATTATGGGCTCTGGCGGGGGGTTGGGGTTGGGTCGACATGCCCTTAACATAGAAAGATTCAAATTTCAATGCATGTAACTAAACAGGGCAGCAATTTTATTTTCATGCTGGTACTTGGACATGGTTACTTGCATTCAATTCTACCACTGGCATAAAAAAAAACAAAGAGACAGAGTGATTTTAACAATGGGATTTAATAAAGAATAAAAAGACACAAGAAATCAACATACATTAACAGTTATGTTACAAAAGGGTCATTTACAGCTAATAAGGTAAATGGTGAAGCTGTTGCTCATGCATATTTAATGTGCATTTAACAAAAGCCCTTAATGATCAGTAGGTGAACTAGCCTTGGTAGCATCGAATATTTCTCAGACAGACTGTGTCTGTAGTACACTGCTTCAGTTTAATCATACTTCCTATTCCATTTCCAAGTATGGCTAGCCAAATATATTAAGTTATAAATATCTTTAGAAAAGTAAACCATGTTTAAACCTTGCATTTACATAGTACTTGCTATGTAGATGCGTAACAGCCAAAGCTGAATTAATAATAAATACAAAATAAAAAGTAAAAAAAAGCCTAAAGACAATAACGTCAAGGGGTGAAAAGTGCAGGGGAAGGCGTTGTGCTGGACAGATTTGACTTCCCAGCTGACCGACAGGCAGTTTTAGGCCGTGCAGCTGATTTCTGTCTAGGCACTTGATTGTGTAACAATGGAGACAAGCCAATTTCATTGGTCGCATCCTAACGGATCTTAGTGTGCCTAAAATCTCTCACACTGTAGTCATGAGTTTTAAGGAGCCTGATCGGAAACGCAAGATCTTCTTCTTCAAGTTATGGGAAGCCTTGATTTTGACAAAAGCCTTCGCCTGTGCTGACGTCATTCCATGGGATCCTGAGCCTGCCTGGCTGATCTGGCGCCAATTGACTCCAGCGCTGCCCTCAGAGTCACTGCTAGTGCTGCTTTCGGCTACATAGTCAGCCTCGCTAGCACTCGACTCACTGTCCCCAAAACAGTTGGTAGTGTAGTTGCTGCGCTCGTCCTCGCTTGTGTCCAAAATGGTGGAATGGAAAAGGGAGGCGCACTCTGCTGAATACTCAGAGTCACTGCCAACATAGGCGTAGGGGCTGGTGTAGTGTGCATTAGACGGCAGGTACATGTGGCTCAGCATTTCACGTTTTTGCCTGCGGTGAGCCCTTCTATAAGCCTCCTCATAGGGGATCTCATGGAGACCCCTCGGGCGCCGGTGGAAATCATTGCGCTTGTATTTAGGTTTAGCCAACACTGCCTCGTGATGTCGGTGATGACCATGGTGTCTCTGGGCAGAGGATCGAGCCCCTGAGGAACTGGTGTGCCTCTCCAGGATTCGTCCTTCAGGGATGGAGGCAGGAATTCTCTTGGTTTTTGCCGAGGCCTTCTTGGAGGATTTGTGCAAGTGGTGGACTTCATCTACTTGACGAGTCCTCCTAGATCCTGTTCGATGCTTGTCACGGACAGTCTCTGAAACATGCTCGAACACTTGAGGTCTACTTTTTGAACTAGCAGAATTTTTCACTTTCCCAATCTTGATGTTCTTGGTGCCACCCTTTTGAAGATTTACGTTCTGTTTCTGAGCAGGAATATACTGGGCACTGACCAGAGGACCTCCCTCATCTTGACTTTGTGAAGAAGAACCGAGGCTTACCAACTCTTGAGCCAACTGCTCGCTGTCTTTACCACAACTGAGCGAAGTTTGAGTCTTAGGACTCCTCTTTAGAGGACTTGCTTTCATTGCTTGGCCTGTTTTATTGTCCTCCACATTGTAAAAACAATGCTTGTTGAGTTTAGGAGAGGAAACAGCCTTTGGGCTGCCCAAATCCGGGCAGTCTTTCGGTGTAGCACTTAACAGCTGACCTTTACTGGTCCCAGAAACTTTCTTCTTCAACAGACAATTAGTGTTTTCATTTGTGGTTGAATAACTGTTCTGTGGCTGACTTGAAGACAAGTATGCTCCATTTTGAGGAGTTCCACCCTTAGACTCAGCAGACCACTGTCTTTGGGGTGAAGCTGTGCTTGGTTCAGTGCTAGTTGCTGATGCATCCTGTAAACATGTCTGCCAGTTTGGTTTAAGGTCAGAGGTCCATTGCTGGGCCTGAACAGAAGCAGGAGCCCGTGAACAAAGACTAGCCTGCCTTAAAATGCTTTTGGAGGGGTCAGTATTGATGCTTGTTCTGGGTTTGTTGGTCCTCAAGGGCTGTGCCCTCCTCTGAAGTAGCCCGAAGATGTAACTATCCAGTTTTTTGTTTGGAAGCATCTGAGAGGCATGCCAAGATGATGTCTGGGAGCCTACAACCTGCTCGGGTTTCTGTTCATCATTCAATGCTTCCCCAGGCTTGGAGAAGTTACAATCGTCCTTTAGGTGACTTGTCATCGACTGGATAAAAACGGGGCTTTGGACAGCCACCGCATGGAGAGGGCTGGGGTACCGGTAAACATCATTACCATTTTTGGCAATTAGGTCACAGTGAAATTTGGAAATGCCATCGCAGGAGCTATCCGGGGAAGGGGAGTAGGAAGCAGAAAGAGACCTGCGAACTGTTCCAGAACTGGAGTCTTCACAATGGCAATCACACTCGGCACAACTGCCCGGATCATCTGCAAACCCAAGAAGGACATAACTGTTACTACAAGAAGAGATAATGTCAGACAATCAAAACAACTATTTTCAAGATGCCATGGCCTGCGAAAGGAGATTATTTCTGATTCCTAGCATTCTGGCCCTTATCAGGGTGGGTGGTTAATTAGTTTTGATGTGCTAATGAGCCTTTTGTTGCTAGCTTATAGGTGTGGCTGGGAGAGATATCAGCAAGGCTGTGAAACTGTTTCTATCTCCATTTGGAACCAAACTTCTCTTGTTTCACCTCAATTTGCAGCATGGAGCTTAAGTGATTACAGAGTGCTAACGGTAATAGAACACAAAAAAAAAAAAAAAAACGGATGCTATTTGACGAAACTAGAAACAAACGAACAAAGTGTCCTTTCTTTGTGAAACCAGCTTTAAAGCAGAGCAAGAAATCACCATTAAGTAAATAATTCTGAATTTGGTTTACAAAGATAGAAAAAAGAGTGTTTCCAGACTTCATAGAAGACTGCTGACGGGTAAAGACCAGTGTGAATGACCCAGAAACCTCAAACCGTCACAAGGAGACTCTCACCTGCAGGCTTAAGCCTTCCCTCTGAGGCACAGAGCGAGGTGTCGAGGGGGGTGCACAGGCAGGTGGTGGAACGACAACTGGACAAACACTCGCTGAACACAGAGTTGGAGGAATTGGAGAGGGATCCTGAAGCACCGTCGCTTAAGTCGTAAAAGCCTGGGAGAGAGAGAGAGAGAGAGGGTGAGACATTAACACATTAATTTGACATCCTCCGGAATGAGGTGGTGATCCAAAGACCGTGCTTTTCATTCTTAAAGGGATAGCTTACCCAAAATGAGAATTAATTTACTCACCCTTAACTTATTTTAAACTTTTATGAGTTTCTTTCTTCTGTTAAACACAAAATAAGATATTTGATAAACCTGTAGGCAGATATTTGTTTTCATATTTGTTTTTCCTACAATGAAAGTCAGTGATTACAGGTTTTCGACATGTTTTTTTGTGCCCAACAGTAGAAAGAAAGGTTTGTAATGACTTGAGGGAGATTAAATAGTAAGTAAACGTTCATTTTTAGGTGAACTATCCCTTCAAGTGAGCTCTCTTCTGGAACCTCCTTTTAATTACAATTTGAATAACATAGCTTCCAGGAAGGTATCCATTTGCCAGAGGAAATAGAGCCAGCAACCAGATCTCCATGCATTACAATTGATATTAGCATTAAAATGGTGAACTAAGTAATGAAACCATTACAGCTACTGCAAACAACACTAAAAATATCTGCTTGCATTAATCAAAGGTCCGCCTTTGGGCTGCAAAGAAAACAATACCAACTTAAAGGTTGAAGAACTTCACATTAGAATCGGTTACAAGGAGATTTTAACAATCGGAGCAGATGTAATCAATCTTCACTTTATATAACCTTCCTCCAACAAAAGTGTAGTCAGTCCCTGCACTAAAATGACCTCTTGAATTTGGAATGTAAACCAATGTAGCTGTTGCAGGCTTCTGGCACAGGGGGCAGATTGTTCGTATTACCAAATTAGTGCGAAAGCAAAAACAAGCGAAGCTTTTTCCAATAGACATTAGAGCTCGCAGGTACACATGCTACTACAGGCCCTAAGCACATCTTATGCAGAGTGATATCCTTTAAACAGGACGTCTGATTACCTCCCTCAGGTAATTGCAGGAGATTACCAATCATTAGAAATGCCTTTCTGTGCATGTGAATTAGTTTCCTTTGGAATCCTTTTTGCCTACGCTGATCACGCAGATTGGTTTTATGCAAACAGTCTGTTGGTAACCAATTCTGCCAAGCCTCGAGTGACAAACATGCATTGCTCAGAATTCAAGCCCCTCTCTCAAAGTGTTTTGGTTTCACAACAAATACTAACCAGAGCTTGGCCGGCTGTCGGTTTCCACATGTTCATGCGAAGTCTCAGTGTCCAGCCGCAGGTCACTGATCTGTCGGTCTAATTCCTGGAGCTGGTTAATCAAACCTGCGTCTCGCCTCCTGAGGCAGTTCTACAAAGAAACAAAACATGAAAAGATGATGTTGAGAAAACATGTTGTTCGGTACTTCAGCAGCTTCTGTATGAACTGCACTGTATAAAGTGAAAACTTAAATTAGTTAAGCTTGTTACAACACCATGATTTAATTAGTTTCCACTTAAATTATTATGGTTTCAGTAATAAATAAGTTGGACAAACTTTATTCTTTTAGATGTAAGAAGTTGAAGTAATTTATTTAAGTTGATTCAATGAGACTTTTCTATTTCATTTGAGAGGATCTGCACTACAGCCCTGGCAAAAATCTGCAAACAATTTTATTTCATAATGCACATCCCTTTTCCTATTCTTTTTTTATTATGAGTGCAAATCATACACCCACAAATAGCAATAGAATAGACATAAAATAGCAGGAAGTGTGTAAACAGCAATGACATTCAGAATAATGGTAGTATTTAAATAGTATTTAGCATTCACACTGTAAAATAATTCTTGCATGCCTTACATTTTTTTGTTTAATAAAATGAACATTGATGGCATGGTGGCTCAGTGGTTAGCACTGTCGCCTCACAGCAAAAAGATCGCTGGTTCAAGTCCAGTTGGTGTTTCTGTGTGGACTTTGCATGTTCTCCCCATGTTTGCGAAGGTTTCCTCCGTGTGTTCTGGTTTCCCCCACAGTCCAAAGACTTAAAGTGTACTGGGTAAACAAAATTGGTCATATTGTATGAGTGTGGATGTGAGAATGCATAGGTGTTTCCCAGTACTGGGTTGGGGCTGGAAGGTAAAAGATATGGTGGAATAGTTGGCGGTTCATTCCGCTGTGGAAATCACTGATTAATAAAGGACTAAGCCGAAGGAAAATTAATGGATAAAATTAACTTCTCCAGTCATCTCAACTCACATCAATCAAACTGACTAAAAATGTTACGTTACATTTGCATTAACTTTTTTTAGTTGAAACCTGATTAACTTATTAAAAGAAGTTAAAGCAACATAATAATATTAGTTGTCTTGGCTTTTTGTCATTACATTTTAACAGTGCTTAATAATAATAATAATAATAATGTGAATAATACCAGTTATAATACTAAAATTGATGATGATGAATGTAATATTCTGTAATGACGACAACAGTGATATCATTAATAATAAAGGTAATAATAATAATGTTGTAATAATAATAATAATAATAATAGAGAATAAAAGTCACATCCTCAGCACATGCCACACTGTAAAAACAAACAAAGTTGACTCAACTTAAAATTTTAAGGCTACAAACTTCAGGACATTATTGAGTTTACTTAACGTTCAACCCAATTACTTCACTTGACTCTAGGCATGAGCCGGTATAAGATTCTGACGGTATGCTAACCTTGGATAAAAATATCACAGTATTGTGATTACTGCTCTAAAATATCTTCTTTTTAAATGTCTGGGTAAAAAACTACAACTTTTCTCTCTTTGAACATAATATATTTTATTTTGAGAAACATATATCATATTTTAGGGGAGTAAACATGTCAGGCTAAATAATTCAAAAGAATCATTGACTTCTGCTGTCTTCATTAGTTTCAGAAACACGGATTTCTTTACAATTAAAACAGCATCTTTGGATATCTTTTTTGCTGGAAATACTGCTGTCCTACAAAACTTAAAACAAAATGTAAATAAAAAATCTTACACATACCTAAAGAATGGTAAAGCAGAAAATTTTGACGATTTTAAAACCTTGAGTTTTCCAAACCATGGAATACCTCAAAAAGCAGTTATCATCCCATGCCCACTTGACTCAATTTAAGTTGAGTAAAATCAAAAATTTCCTGAAGTTTGTTGCCTTAAATTTTTAAGTTGAGTCAACATTTTTTTTACAGTGCATATACAGTTAAAGTCAGAATTATTAGCCCCTCTTTATTTATTTATTTATTTATTATTTTTTTTTTTTAATATTTCCCAAATTATGTTTAATAGAGTAAGAAAATTTTTACAGTATGTCTGATAATATTTTTTCTTCTGGAGAAAGTCTTATTTGTTTTATTTCGGCTAGAATAAAAGCAGTTTTTATTTTTTTTTAAAACATTATAAGGTCAAAATTATTAGCCCCTTTAAGCTATTTTTTCCCCATAGTCTACAGAACAAACCACTGTTATACAATAACTTGCCTAATTACCCTAACCTGACTAGTTACCCTAATTACCCTAGTTAAGCCTTTAAATGTCACTTTATGCTGTATAGAAGTGTCTTGAAACATATTTAGTAAAATATTATTTACTGTCATCATGGCAAAGATAAAATAAATCAGTTATTAGAAATGAGTTATTAAAACTATTATGTTTAGAAATGTGTTGAAAAAAATCTTCTCTCCATTAAACAGAAATTGGGGAAATAAATAAACAGGAGGGTGAATAATTCTGACAACTGTATATCCTATCTTCTGTGTCTGATCATGTTTTTTTAATATAAATATCCTCCTAACCCTAAAGTCCTCACGAAACTAATCAGACAAGACGTAATGAACAAAATGAGAGTCACACCTCGCATGGGAACAACATTCAACTTCGACACACCGCTAGAGAGCAATTGGATGCATCTGACAACACCCGTATCATGTGCTGCATTCCAAATTAAGCGTGGTAAAACAGCAGACCGAGGAAAATGTGGCCCCTTCAAAGCAGACGGACACTGCTTCAAATGACCTATAATCAGAGGCATGTTATCTGCTGCAAATTTTAACTGCTGCTCGCTGACAGGGGAAGTAATGCAGTGCAGATTCCAGGCTATATGGAGCGGAGGAATGGCGTTTCCTCCACTGCAGAGCGAGGCTGTAAAAAATGCCTGGTCCTGACAGGAGGGCCGCGGGTGATTTATGGGCCCTGAGCTCTCAGCATGCTGGCCTGTGCAGACCATTTTTACACAAAGTGCCATTTGCAGAGCACACCAATGGTTATTTTGAAACGGCGTCAAATTAACCCCAGACCACTGTTGACGGCCTGGGCTTCGGGAGAGAGGAGTCTACATTTACTGTTTATAGTCAATTCACAGCACAAGGCCACAGAGGACTGGTTGTTTATTCTTGTGGAATCATAAGGACATTAGGCATTATATGATTCACACATCACCGTCGACTTTACTGCAGATGTGGGTGTGCGGCCTGCAAACTGACGGACCTCAAGATAAACAAGTATAATCATGCCAGACTACATCGGAGAAGATTCAACCACTTGTGTACAAGTCTGAGGCTTTGGCAAAGCATGGAAATTGAATCCAAATCTTGTAATTCTTCTTTGTGTACACAATACGTTCACCGCAATGCATAGGGTTACAATATTGGAGATGTTTGCAAATACCCAGAGTGGAACCAGGTGTCTTTTTGGCCCAACTGTTAAATTTAATCTCGCTCATCCTCTACAGCAGGGGGGCTTAAGCTGAGCTTGTAAAAAAGTTCATTTCCATTGAAACCCATCGACTAATCTCATTCAGGCCATTCAGACCCCCTCCTAGATCTGCATTAGGAACTCTGGGATGTTCTACTATCTCCTGGAAGTTTTATTTAATGGTTTTCTCATTGTTTTAATGTCATTCTAATGATTATAAGGCTTGGGTTTCTGGTGTCACATGACTGTAAAGGCCAAAAATAGAGACTTTGTCTATTTTAATTTTTACTATATGACAAAAAGTTCATAAAATAAAGTTTTGATTGAGCTCAATACAACTATTTCTGAAATTATGGCTATAAAAATGATGTTTGTAGAATTAGAACTAGATATTTTTCAAGACACTTCAATACAGCTTAAAGTGACATTAAAAGGCATAACTAGGTTAACTAGGCAGTTTAGGGTAATTAGGCAAGTTATTGTATAACAATAGTTTGTTCTGTAGACTATAAATATAAATATATATATATATATATAGCTTAAAGGGGCTGATAATTTTGACCTTAAAATGGCTTTAAAAAAAATTAAACTGCTTTTATTCTAGCTGAAATAAAACAAATCCGACTTTCTCCAGAAGAAAAAAAATTATCAGACAAACTGAAAACCTTGCTCTAACATCATTTGGGAAATATTATATAAATATTTCAACTGTTTATAAAGAGTTCAAATGCAAAAACCTCTAAATGCCGTCTGACATTTTCTCCTAAAAATAGGTATTTTTTTCTTTCTAGCTTCTGTGTGTATGTTCAGCAAATCCAAATCAATTTTATGGCAAATATGTTCTTTGCATTGCCTTTAAAGTGAAACAACTGAACACAAACATAGGATGCTGAGAAAAATGCAAATTTTAGAAGAAAATTTCAGATGGCACATATAGAGGTTTTTGCATCTGAACACTTCATTATATATAAAGTGTATATTATACATATATAATATAGTTACGGTATAATCATAACTGACAAAAAATGTATAACTCTGTTTATGGTAGTCTGATAATACTGAGGTTTTTCTTTTAGGTATTTTGAAGTACAATGCAAAAACAGTATTGACTTTTTACGTTACTACCCTGGTATAAAGTAGTAGTACCATAGTTTTTGAAAATAAAAGTTCAAATAATGCCAATCCAAAAAAAAAAAAAATAAATAAATAAATAGACGACATAATAGCTAAAAAAATATTAATAATTAATGTAATAAAAAAAGATATTGCACCACATATGCACACTGAAAATAACGATTCATCAAATTTACTAACATTTTTCCAAGGTAAGTGGTTGGGCTGACTTTAAACAAATTTAAACAAACCAATCAAGTTGAACGTTACTATATTTAGTGATTTATATAGTAATGTTCAACAAATCAAGATGAACATTGCTATAAAAATAGTTTGCAACCTTAAAAAATAGCAAATCCATTGAATGATTCAATTTAGTAAATAGAACTATAATGAATAGAACTATAACAAAAAATAATGTCAATCTGCGACTCACCAACTGTTTCCTAAGCAACAAAATATTCTCCTCCAGAAGTTTCTCTTCAGTGTTCAGATAGCTGTCGTCCACTGTCAGGCAGGGTTTGTCTTGTCCTGCAGCCTCTGGACAGCTCAACACACTCCTGACCAGCAGCTCCTGCCTCTGCCTCAAGTACTCCAGCTCGGTCAGTCCCGCGACAGTGGCGTCCAAGCGCTCCCGGGCTCGAACCCGCTCCCCTTCGCCGTCCCGACAGCAGCGCGCGTCGCATTCCTTCCGATCCCGCATCATGAGCGCGCAATAATCCCTGCACACCAGCATCTCTGACCACTCGTTCATTTATAAATCCAATGAAAGCAATAGACCTGTGGAGAGATTCTTTCTATGAGCAGAGTGCATCTGAGAATCGCGCTCTCAGACAATCTCCATGCGTAAAAAGTGATCCAGAATTAGAATTCCCAAAACAGAAGTAATCATGAAATGTGAGCAAAACTATTAGTCCTTTAGAAACATGAAGTTTTAAAGCATGCTGTCCTTGCTGAAGCTCAGGATATAATGTGTAAATCCACACATACACGCAGAGAAAGACACAGAGAGGGTGTTGATGCGTCCCGTCCGGATGATACTGGGATCTGAATGTGTCCTGAAATGAAGCGCTCAGTCACACACACAGAGGAAACCGCGCTGATGTGGGCGCGCAGGGTCCTAACGCCCGTTTGTGTTCTCTGTCCTTCTGAAGCGGCTCTTTTATGCTATCAAATATGTGACCCTGGACTAAAAACAGTCATAAGTGACTTTTTAAAAATTAAGATGCATACATTATATAGAAGCTGAATAAACAAGCTTTCATTTGATTTATGGGATTGTTATGATAAGACAATATTTAGCCGAGATACTACTGAAAATCTGGAATCTGAGGGTGCAAAAATTCTAAATATTGAGCAAATCACTCTGGGTTTTTCTATATGCATGTAAATAAATCAATGATAAGGAGAAACACATATTTTGGATTATGGATATTTCTGGAAATAATTTTAGTTATTTTTATTAAATACATTTTTTATTTGGTTTATATTTGTTTTAATGACATTTATATACTATATAATATTCAAATATATATTATATAAATACATATTATATATAAACCATTATATTTATGTAGATGACATATTTTATTTAAATTATATTTATTTTTATTTTATTTATATTTATGCAAATTGCATCTACTTATATTTAATTTATATTTATTGTAATTACATTAACATATTATATAATCAATCATGTTAATGAACATTATTCTTTTTAATTTTTTTTTTATATTCATGCTAATTATATTTATATTTTGACAATTATATGTTAATATAATTGATTAATTATATTTTAATTATGTATTTTTATGTTTATTTATATTGAATTCATATTTATGTAAAAATAAATAAATAATTAAATATAACAGTATATTTTATATATTGACAATTACATTTATGCACATGAAATATATTTATTTTATTTTATTTATATTTAATTTATATTTATTGTAATTACATTTTTATATTATATATTGACAATTATATTAATGCACATCATTTTTTTTTATTTTGATAATATTTAATTTATATTTATACAAATTATATTTACATATTGACAATTATATTCATGCTAATTGTGTATTTTTATATTTATTTATGTTGAATTCATAGATTATTCAAATTATATATATATAAACATATATTATTTAAATATATATTATATATTTACAATATATTACATCACATACTTTTACTTTAATTATATCTATTTTTAATTTATTTTTATTTTAATTGTATCTATATTTAATTTAAATTTAAATGTAATTACATTTATATATTGACAATAATATTAATTCACATTATGCTTTTTTAATTATATTTAATTTATATCCATGCTAATTATGTATTTTTATTACTTTTATTTATTTTAAATTCATATTTATTTAAATAACATATATTGACAATTATATTTGAACACCACACAGAACACCAAATTTTACCATGGTGATGGCATCTACATTATTCAGCATTAAAATAATAGAAAGCATGAATTATTCATTTTTTTATGCATCTTCTCAAACTCGAGCAGAATCACATTTTGTAGCATTTGATATATTGTAAATGGATCTGAATGTAAACACATCAAAGCCTACAGCAATAAATAGGACCTTTTAGTACAAAATTTTAATACATTTAAAAAGAAAATCACTGTATGTAATCAAGTACGAAAACTGTATTTACTTATATTCTATTTATTATATTTACATAGTACACCAAATTTTATCAGTATCTATATTATCCAGCATGCAAAGTCAGCTACAGTAAATTATCCTATCATCTAATCATCGTATTAAAAAAACAAGATAATACAGGATGAATAAGAAATTAAAAACTAAATAAAATAAAACAAATGTATATTAAATAAAATTAATATACACATTTCTTATAATAAATGTAATAAACATATTTCTGTTTGAAAGTCATATGTTTTGTATCAGTTAACGTAGTAAAGTGGTATCAATATGAAGAGATGATATTGGGCACTGTAAGATTATGATTCATAGGCAGCATGATATTTACACAGTGGATCTATAAAGATTTTTTTTTTTAATCTGAAAGTGATTTTTATATTTGATTTGATCAGTTTATAAACAAAGTACTGTGGTGGTATCATGGTGAAGTGATGACATCAGAGACTGTATGACTGTATGATCATGATATCCAGCACTTTATTTTATGTCAGAATTTCTTAACAAAAAAAAAAAACTACAAATCAGTTTATCAAAATTCACTAGGTTGTATCATGGTAAAGTGATAAAATTAAGTTCTGTATAATTGCAGATATTTACACAGCACACTTCAAAATACTCTGATGGGAGTGTCCAAAATTACGGTATTGTTTTGGTAGAATAAAAAAAAAAAAACAGGAAAATAGAAGAAGTCATATAAGAAATAATGGATATAATGACCCAATGAAATGTTTAATAACGTGTAATACAGATAATGACAAGCTCTAATTTGATAATGGTGATTTCTGAAAGGTGTATCTGATTTAAAGGCACTCAGGTGAAGTGACTGCCCTCTACTGTCATGAAAACAAAGAGTGGGCGTCACTTCTATAAGCGCTTTATATGCTTTATATACTTTATTAATAAATAAAGTAATATAAAATAATTATTGTTAACTTATATAAATAAATGATTTATAATATAAATGTATTTATAATATTTAATTATTTATAAATGATAAATAGTAAAAATGTGTGTGTGTGTGTGTGTGTGTGTGTGTGTGTGTGTGTGTGTGTGTGTGTGTGTGTGTGTGTGTGTGTGTGTGTGCGTGTAAAAATAAACAGAAGCTGTAAATGAATAAATAAATACATATTTATTTATTCATTCCTTTTCTTGCTTAGTCCCTTCTTGCTGTGAGGCAATTCTGCTCCCCACTGCACAACCGTGACGCCAAATACATATTTTATTATTTATAATTTAGTTATTTTAAATTTAATTATTATTAATTCTTATACATTTATAAATAAATAAATACATACATATATACACACACGCACACACACACACACACACACACACACACACACACACACACACACACACACACACACACACACACACACACACACACACACACATATATATATATATATATATATATATATATATATATATATATTTTTTTTTTTTTATTTATATATATATATATATATATATATATATATTTATATATTTAAATTTAGATTTAGATATATATATATAGATAATTTAATACAGATTTGTTTAGAAATTTTGCATCTGTGAAATCAATCAAAAAATCACACATCGAGATTCTGACCGCTCTAGCAGATCTATAATAATATAAAATAAAATAAAAAATAAACTACAATAAAATTAAATTAAACAAAAACAATTATTTAAATTAAATTAAATTACTTCTGGAATGGACACATTTAAATTTAAAATTAAATTAAATTAAATAATTATTTAAATTAAATTAAGCTAAATTAAATAACTTCTGGAAAGGACTCATTTAAATAAAAAAATTAAATAATTTTTTAAATTAACTTAAATTACTTCTAAAATACACTCATTTAAAAATAAAAAAAATAAAATATATATTTAAATAAAATTATTTCTGGACAGGGCTCATTTAAATATAAAATAAAATAATATTAAATAAAATAAAATAAAGCAATTAATTAAATTAATTTAAATTACTTCTGAAAAAGACACTTATCTAAATATAAATCTAGAAGAAATAAAATAAAATAAAATAAAATAAAATAAAGTATTATTAATTACTTATTGAAAGGCTGGACTTTTATCTAAATTTCAAATAAAAATGTAAAAATGTCATATTTTCATAATGGGATTTTTTTTGCATAAAATAAGTATAGGTGGCATGTTTCAGATACTCATTTTTAGACCAAATCTTTTAATCTCAGAAGAGTATTTTTTTAATAACACTGATTCTCAATCACAACAAATAATATGAAAAATCACAATATATTACTGTAATCCTGTATGATTATACTATTCATATGCACAATTAAAGTTAATTATCTGATTGTTGGTGGCGCAGTGGGTAGCACGTTCATACATGAAAATTAAATATATGCACATCAGTACATCCACATCTAGCACTTTCATTTGTGACTGAATTGTATTACTGTTATTTTAATTGATCATAATGAGGGGCGGCACGGTGGCTCAGTGGTTAGCACAGCAAGAAAGTCACTGGTTGGCATTTTTGTGTGGAGTTTGCATGTTCTACCCGTGTTGGTGTGGGTTTCCTCCAGGTGCTCCGGTTTCCCCCACGAGTCCAAAGACATGTGGTATAGGTGAATTGAATAAACTAAACTCACCTTAGTGGATGTGACTGGATGAGTGTCTATGGATATTTCCAGTAAGTTGCAGCTGGAAGGGCATCCGCTGTGTATAACATATGCTGGATAAGTTGGTGGTTCATTACCCTGTGGCGACCCCTGATGAATACAGGGACTAAGCTGAAAAAAATATATGAATGAATGATCATAATGATGAACCTTGATTATCAATCACAACAAAAACAATAACAGAAAAATCCCACTTTGACCAATTGTCATTTTCAAAAAAACAAAAAGACTCTAAATAATATTATTTTCTATTTAAGATCAGGAATAAATTATCTTTATGGAATAAAACTGTATGTATGCATTGATATTGTTTAAAACATCTTACATTATAATTGGCAAGTAAAAGGGGTTAAACAGTGACTCAAATAAAGAATGATCTATGGGTTTCCTAAAAGACGGATCTGTAAAGCATATGTTTAAACATGATTTCTGCTAATAGACTCCACAGCTGCTTGTATAAGAGGCAGAAGTCACGTTTCTCCATGAGCTCATTAGTCAGATGCGTGGAGAACTCAAAACACACATCAGATTTGTTTGAAAATGCATCTGTGAAATCAATCAAAAAATCTCACATCGAGATTCTGACCGCTCTGGCAGGGCTGAAGCTAATTAATATTTTACATTCAAAGAATTGGGGGATTTAACAAAACAAAACAAAAACAAAAATAAAATAAAATAAAATAAAATAAAATAAAATAAATTA